GGGTGTAAATCTTTACGGGAGCAGAAAGCCTCATCTTTCTCCCGCGGAGCAGCTGGTAGTTTCAAACTGCTGACCCTGTGATTCACAGCCCTATTCGTAACCACTAAGCTACCAGAGCTCCTTGCATATGAGGTTAGTGATACATAAAATGGACATTTTAACCCTAAACATGCATTTGCTTTTCAATGAACATACTTATACTGACAAAGGGAGGTCTCTTTTTTGTTGTGTATTCTTGGAGTTAGACAATAAATTACAATACTTTTCAACAGTTTTGTCAGATGAACAAAATAGAATTCCTGGTAACTCAGTTTGATCATTAACTCAATTCAACAGAAATATATACCACAGGAAATTCCATATCATTTCAGGTTTGGGCCCCAGGGTATTTACAAGGAGCCCCAATTACCCACAGCACCCAATATCTCTCTCTCTGCCAAAGGAACATCATAGCCTAACCTCCAGTGACCAAAGGAAGGTTAAAATGGCCTTATTTTTCTTCGCTCCACAGGCCAGACTTAACAGAAAGTGTTTGAATTGCAGAGAGCTTAGTCTTTGGCTTAATAGTAACTATTTACATTGGCAGCTTCTCCCTAAGTTTAGGGTGGAAGATCCTGGATGTGATCTGGTGCGTTTTTTTGGATTCTAAAAGGGGAGATTTATTCTAAATTGTAGAAAACCATTGAATTTGTTAAATGTCATAAAGCCTAGTATTGTCATTTAATTCATAAAAACTGAAATTAGAAAGTTATCAAATATAAATTGTTTGAATAAAAAATTAGGAATCTAAACAAGAATGTTGTAAACGGTTTATGTTACAGAAACTTTGTGTGGAGTATAATTCTCATCTCCCCAGCAACACTTTCCTTTCTGTGACTATCAAAGAAGACATTTTGGATGAATGGGGCATAGGATGACACCATATAATATATTTCTGATATTTCTACTGTCCATTGGCCTCAGACTAGCTTCTCAGTGAGATCCTTCCCATGCCAGAGATCACTGGAAAAATTCTCAAATATGGCAGATAATTCGGGGAGGAGAGTGATGATATGTCAAAATGCAATCTCAGAAAAATAATCATATTTTCTATTTTCACAAATAAGGATTTTTTTTAACTCCCCATTGAGAAAAAAGTACAAAAGGATATGGATTGTAAAGAGCCTAATTGTCTCAACCCAGTTTTCTGGTATCTTCTACATTGGGAAGAAATCCTGATGTAAATTAAACACACACAAAAAAAATCCTGGAATGGTCAAGCTTATGGCACACATTTAAAGAAAAATACAAAAAGAATTTAAACCCAAAAGTAAATGATAAAAATTGTCAATTTTTTTCAAATAAGAAATTTAGTTATGTTTTAATAACAATAATGTTCAACCAAAATAGATAGTGCCATGAGACTTTGTATTCCCCTTTGTTAAAGTGCAGTGAATAAGTTGGGGGAAAGGGGGGGAAGGTCATTAGGATTAAAGAAGTAACACTAATATAAAATTCTACATCAACACTCACAGTCTAAAACTAGATAGGCTTTAAAAATTAAGTAAGAAAGGCGACTCTTAAATTATTATATTAAATAAGTGAAATAAATGAGGTGAGATATTTTGGTCTTAAGCTTTGGCATCTCATAATAAATTGTGAAGAAAGAGAAAAATATTTTTATATGGTGTATAAGTATCAAGCAATGACACATTATGTGTCCCTTCATTTATTTCCCTGCTTCTACTCATGGCATTAAAGATAGATGTAGAATTCAATGGATTAGACAAGGGTTAGATATTTAACCCTGGTGGTTAAATATCTTAAGCTTAAGCACTTGGCTGCTAAGTCAAAAGTATGGTGGTTCAAACCCACCAGCCACTCTAGGAGAGAAAGCCATTACAATATGTTTCAACAAAATATCTACAGTCTTGGAAACACTATTGGGTGCTTAAGGAGCTCTGGTAGCATAGTGGTTACGAATTGGGCTGCTAATCTCACAGTCAGCAGTTCAAAACTACCAACAGTTCTGTGAAAGAAAGATGAGGCTTTCTGCTCCCATAAAGATTTACAGCCTCGGAAACCCTACGCAGGGTCTCTGTGAGTCAGAACCGACACCACGGCACATGGACTTCACTACAGCAGAATCAATTCAATGGCAACAGGTAGAATCAACTCAATGACAGATAGATTAGGTAAATGGATTAGTAATAATGAATGTATATCTTTGTTCCAGAGAGAAAAAAGAAACATACAGAAAAGCATAAAGGAAAAAATTTAAATTGCACATAATTCAACTATATAACTCCTATCTTAATAGTAATTGTTGTTGTTAAGTGCCATTGAGCCAGTTCTGACCCATAGCAACACTGCATAGGGTTTCCAAGGAGCAGCTGATGAGTAAGAACCACCCAACCTTGCAACTCAAACCGACCTTATGGTTGAGTGCTTATCCTACAGACCAGGACCCCAATGCTAACTGTTGTTGTTGTTGTGAAGTGCTGCCGAGTCGGTTCCGACCCATAGTGACCCTGTATAGGGTTTCTGAGAAGCAACTGGTGAGCTTGAACTGCCAACCTTGCAGTTCAAATGACTTTGCAGTCTGGCGCATTAACCCACAGGGCCACACCAGGACTCCAATGCTAATAGTACATATGAATTAATGGAAAGACAAAAGAGAGTCACTTTTCAGTAAAACGGAAAAGATTTCCATAAACAGTGAATGAAGTTCATTCCTCTGTTACCTGACAGAAAAATCAGCAATACTCTTCCAGTAACAAAGAAATGGAAACTTCCAGAGTTCCTAAAAATAACACCAACTATTGAAAGAGAAGCTAAGTATTTCAACTCAAGGCAACCTCATGTGTTTCAGAATAGAACTGCATTCCATAGAATTTTCATTAGCTGTGACCTTTCTAATATAAATCATAAGTGCTTCTTGATGGATTCAAACCTCTAAACTTTGGGTTAGAATAGTTAACCATATGTGCCTCCCAGGGACTTCTAAATGTGCCATTAGAAATTCAGAAGCAGGAAGTGTCATCCTCAATGTCTGTGATTAACGTCTACACAGACACACTAAGGATGAGTTAGTTTTCACAGAGGTTAGACTAGATGATTGCTGGGGTCTACCTCTTCTGTTCCAGGTGTCCTCTGTCAATCTTGGACTTAAACAATTTACAATGTTATTACATAATATATTATAAAACACAAAAGCATCCATTACCTTCAGCTATATAATCTGTGTAAGAAGTGATCTCTGGAGATCAAAATAATAAACTTTTAAACCATCAAGAAATAATTAATGTCATATCATATGTTCACTTGGACTGTTTATTCTTTATTTATTTATTCATATGTATTTGCACATATATTTAAACCAAAATAGTAATCAGTATTCCATCTCACAAAAATGCTTTCAAAGCCATCTAAATATCATTATGGAAATAATTAATAATTTGAATATTATAGGATCTGTCCATTTCTTTACTACTGTAATTACTCCAAATAAACATATTTTCTTGAAAACCTTTGCCTGTATGCCTTAATTAAAATTGTTGCTGTTGTTAAGTCATGCCTGACTCATAGAGACCCTCTGTAGGTTTTTTGAGGAGTAGCTGATGGATTTGAACTGCTGATCTTGTGGTTCAAAGTCCAGTGCTGATCCTACAGTGCCACACCAGGAGTCCTTAATTAAAATACATAGTATAAATTTAATCCATCTAAAATACAGACTGTTTTAATATTCCTAGTCAATGAGTTATTTTTAGGAAGTTTGCACAAATTTGACCATTCTAGCTGCTTGTTTATATTTTGCCTTGCTTCACACTCCACAAATTTGATCAGCTCAATTATCATTTCATTGTTGCTCTAAATTTAATCCAGTTATGATAAACGTTGTTGAATGTGTTTATTAACCATTTTATTTTATTTTTAAGAATACACTCAGAAAGGTATGGCCTTCCATTTTTCTGATAGAAACTCAGCATTTTTCAGATCAATTTATATGAATTATATGTTAAGAGTAATGATTTGTGGTCTATCATAAATGTGTAGATAATATCAATATACAATGTGCTCTTCATTTTATTTATTTTTCCAATAAATACTTATAAAAAAAAAAAGAATTTGTTCTCTCACACAAAATGAGAACCAGCGTGGGGGTGGGGTATATGAGTAAACAGAAAGATTAACCGGAAATAATAAGTACCTCAGAAATACTTAATAAAGAATAGATGTGTGAATTGAACGAAGCTTTTAAAGTTTATTAGGCAGGATAGTGAGCTGGATCACAAGGTCAATTTGAACCACAAAGTCAGTAGTTCAAACCCACCAGCCACTCCTCAGAAACCCTATACAGGGTTGCTATGGGTCAGAATCAACTCCATCGTATTTAACAACAACAACATATGTCTCATTAATAAAATTATTAATTCCTTCCCTTTGTTTGAAATGGGTGACATGAAATTTTATAATGTACTTTATCAAATCCTCTTCATGACTCAGTCAACATCATTCAAACTATTTAACATAATTTTTAGTATTTTAAGCTGCTTCACACGTATAATGGTAAACTAGTGATCCTGACTTCATGCATTAATTTCACTGAATAAGTGGATTCAGTTAATTAAATTTTTCTGTGGGTGCCCTTCTTTTCTTGCAGTCCACATCACTCTTGGAAATAGAAAAAGAGTATGAGTAATTTCACTATAATGAATGGATTTCTTCTCATGAGTTTTTCTGGCAATCCTAAGACAGAAATCCTATATACTTCTTTGTTTTTAGTCTTGTATTTGGTGGCTTTAACTGGCAATAGTCTCATTATCACTGCAACGTCCATAGATCACAGTCTCCACTCTCCTATGTATTTCTTCCTGAAGCATCTCTCCTTCTTGGATCTGTGCTACATTACTGTGACTGTACCAAGATCCATTTGCAGCTCTTTCATGCATAATGGCAATATTTCCCTCTGGGAGTGCATCTTGCAGTGTTTTGCATACACTACCTGCAGTTCTGCTGAGATGGCCATGCTCACAGTGATGTCCTATGACCGGTACGTGGCCATCTGCTTCCCACTGCGCTATGAAATCATCATGGATGTCAGCACCTGTGTTTACGGAGTCTTAACTGTCTGGATCAGTGGGGTCATCTCTGGAGTCATGCATACTGCTGCTACTTTCTCCATTCACTTCTGTGGGGACAATGTCATTCACCAGTTCTTCTGCGATGTCCCCCAACTCCTGAAACTCTCTTGTTCCAATGACTACATCAATGAGTTTGGGGTCACAGGCTTCCTGTTCTTGGTGGCAAGTCTTTGTTTCATCTCTATTGGCCTCTCCTACTCACAAATATTCTCTACTGTGCTGAGGATGCCATCTGCAGAAGGTAGAGGCAACGCCTTTTCTACTTGCCTGCCCCACCTATTTGTTGTCATATTATTTATCTCTACTGGAGTTTTTGAGTTTCTAAAACCACCTTCTGATTCTCCAACTGTGCTAGACTTTTTGCTTACTGTTCTTTATACTGTTGTGCCTCCAACACTCAATCCAATGATTTACAGCCTGAGGAACAAAGTCATGAAGGCAGCTCTAAGAAAAGTTTTTAAAGAAAGAAAAGCCTACCTGCTTTGCTGAGACAAATCTATCCATTCCTGGTAGGGATGCAAATTCAGAATATATTGGGAAAACGTAGCAAAGTCAATCCAGATAGTAAAGTTAAATAAAGAACTTACAGTATGGGAAGTTGTTATATAAATGAACTGTCACTGAGCAATAAAAACATTAAAACAGCATTACATACAAATGTGTTATTATTAAGTACTATCAAGTCAGTTCCAACTCATAGAGACCTTGTATGGGGTTTCAAAGTAGTAGCTGGTGGGTTAACAATCCAGTGCACTTAACAACAACAATGGCTAGTGATCACAAGCATTTCTTCATATGTTTGTTGGCTGTCTAAATTTCTTTGGTGACGTGTCTGTTCATGTCCTTTATTGGTGTTTTATTTGGATTATTTGTCTTTTTGTCGAGGTGTTGAAGTGTTCTATAAGTTTTAGAGAGCAGTCCTTTGTCTGATATGACATTTTTTTCAGGCCTATGGGTTCTCTTTTTACTCTTTAGGTGAAATCTTTTGATGTACATAAGTATGTGATTTTTAGGAGGTCCCAGTCATCTGTACAGACACTGTGCACAGGAAACAAACCTGGATTTCGAGTCCAACACCTTAACCATTCGGCCATCAGAGCCACGCTGGAGCTCTGGTAGTATAGTGGATTACCAACTGAACTTCTAACCACTAGGTCAGCAGTTCAAATCTACTAGCTGCTCCACAAAAGAAAGATGAGGCTTTCTACTCCCATAAAGTTTTACAGCCCCAGAAACCCTATACAGAGTCACTATGAGTTGGAACAGAATCCACAGCACATAACCACCAACCACCACCAGTCATCTAGGTTTTTCTCTGCTGTTTTTTGTTTTCAATTATGTTTGCTGGTATATTCATGCCTGTATCAGAGCCTCTAAGTCTGCCTCTATTTTTTTTACTGATGATCTTGATAGTTCTAGGTTTCATGTTTAGGTCTTTAATCCACATGAGTTCATTTTGTAAACTTTGTAAATAGTGTAAATATGGGTCTTGTTTCATTCTGCCAAAGCATTTCCAGTTTTGCTGCACCATTTGTTGATGAGACCAGTTCTTCCCCCATTTAATGTGTTTTGGCTCTTTATCAAAGATCAACTCACAGTAAGTGGATGGATTTACTTCTGGGTCCTCAATTCTGTCCCACTGATTTCTGTGTCTTTCGTTGTACCAGTACCCAGCTGCTTTGACTGCTGTGGCTGTGTCATAGGTCTTGAGATTCCTTTATTCCTTTTGTTTAGTAATGCTTTGCTTACCTGTGGGCTTTTTCCTTTCTTTATAAAAAGATAATGATTAGTTTTTCCATCTCTTGAAAGAGTGATGTTGGGATCTGAATTAGGATTGCATTCTATCTAAAGAGTTCTTTGGGGAGTGTTGACATTTTGACAATGTTAAGTCTTCCTTACAGTGAGCATGTTGTAGTCTTCCATTTTTGTAAATCTCTCTTGGTTTTTTTTCATCGTAGTGTTTTGTAGTTTTCTTTGCATGTTGTTGCTGTTAAGTGCCATGGAGCTGGTTCCAAATAGGAAATTAGGGTTTCTGAGGGTATAAATCTTTGTAGGAGCAGAAAGCCTCATCTTTCTTCTGCAGAGCAGCTAGTGGGTCTGAACCACTTGTTAGCAGCCCAGTGCTTATCCTACAGAGTCACTGTGCTACCTTTGTACAGATCTTTTGTTTCTCTGGTTTAATTATTCCTAAATATTTCATCTTTTTGGTTGTGTCTTAGTTATTTAATGCTCTTATAACAGAAATATCACAAGCAGATGGCTTTAACAACCATAATTTATTTTCTCACAGTTTAAAGGCTGAAAGTCTAAATTCAGAGTGTCCGCTCTAGGGGAAGGCTTACTCTTTGTTGACCTAGAGAAAGGTCCTTGTGTCTTTTCAGCATCTGTTGGCCCAGTATTCCTTGGATATCTCCATACATCTTTGCATCAATCTTCCCCTGGATCCAGGAGATTTGCATTGCAGGGGCTGCAGATCCAGAGGACACACTCCACTGCCAACTCGTCTATCCTGGTCATGGTAGGCACCTCTGAGCTCTGCTCACTTCTCTCTCCTTACATATCTCAAAAGAGATCAACTCAGATACAATCTACCTCCTGTATATTGCATCTGGCTCCATTAACATCATAGAAGTGAGGATTTATAACACTCAGGATAATTACATCAGAACAGAGCTGGTCACATCAGATCACATCATGGGAGTAACTGCATCATATTAGATCTCATCATGGAGATGATAACTATGTCTTAGCTATCACAGGTGACTATTGTAGATGGTATAGTGTTGTTTTCCTGATTTTCTTTTCAAAGCTCTCTTTATTAGTGCCAAGGAATCAGGCTGGTTTTTATCTGTTCATCTGGTACTCTGTCACTTTTCTGAATCTTCAATGAGTTCTAATAATTTTCTTGCTGAATCTTTGGAGTTTTCTATGAATAGCATCATATCATCTGCAAATAAGAGTTTCACCTCTTCTTAGCCAATTTGGACGCCTTTAATTTCATTTTCTTGCCTTATATCTCTGGCTAAAACTTCCAGCACAATATTGAATAGGAGTGGTTTAAAGCACATCCTTCTCTAGTTCCTGTTCACAGAGGGAATGCTTTTAGTTTTCCTGCACTGAGAGTAATGTTGACTGCTCTTTTTGTATATATGCCCTTAATTATGCTGAGGAATTTGCTTTCTAGTCCTATTTTTACTGTATTTATCAGGAATGGGTACTGGACTTTGTCAAATCCCTCTTCTACATTAACCAATATGATCATATAGGTTTTTTCCCCTTTTTTTATTTATGTGGTGAATTATTTTGATTATTTTTTCTAATACTGAACCATCCTTGCACACCTTGTATGAATCCCACTTGGCCATTATGAATATTTTTAAATATGTTTTTGGATTCTATTGGATAGGATTTTATTGAAATTTTTTGCATCTGTGTTGATAGGGGATATTGATCTAATCTTCTTCTTTAGTGATGTTTTTGCCTGTTTTTGACATTAGGGCTATGTTTGCTACATAAAATGAATTCAGGGGTTTCCATCCTTTTCAATCTTCTGGAATAGCTTGAGTAGAATGTTTCCATTTTCAAAACATACCTGCTAAGATTTTGAGTGGAATTACATTTCATTTGGTAGAGCAAATATTAAAAGAATTATCTGCTTTCAGAGACTGTATCTTCTAATCCATGAACAGAATATTCTTCTATATTTATTTTGGTCTTTAAGAGTTCTCTCAGAAATGATAAATAGTTTCAGTGTAATGCCTTTGTACACATTTTATTAGATTTATCTATGTATTTGGTGCCTGTTAAATATCATTGCCTTTTTTTATGCCCATACTTAGAAAGACATTTGATTTTTTTATGCAGTGATCATAACAAGTTTACTTATAAACTCTAATACCTCTTTATGTATTCTTTATAAATTCTTCTACACATTATGCCATCTCTGAATAAAGGGCTTTATTTTTTTTCTTCACAAAATTTACCTTTTATTTCTTTTTCTTCTTTTTGCACTGGCTAGGAATTGCAAGGCTTTGTTGATTAAATGGTCCTAGAAAGCAACTCAGGTAGTGTAGTGGCTACAAGTCC